AAATAATAATAATAAACTTGGAAGGGACCTTGGAGGTCATCTAATCCAACCCCCTGCTCAGGCAGGAAACCTTATACCATTTTGGACAAATGGCTGTCCAGTCTCTTCTTAAAAACTTCCAGTGTTGGTGCATTCACTGCTTCTGGAGGCAGGTTGTCCAGTTGCCTTTTGAAAAAGCACCTTTGAGACAACTATGACCTGGATGACTGAGAATCTCCACAGACATATGTATATCTCTGTACTAAGGAACAAGTCTCAACTACAGCTACCTCTTTCAAGACTTTTAAATCAGGAGATAAAATAAATGAGCAAATCTTATTTTAAAGGATTCCTGAATAGGGGAAAGATAGAGGTTGAGGTTGTAATTTCATAGTCTGATTCTGATCTCTGAAACATAACCAACAAAGAGCCCAATGTTATATTTACGTGGACCCACTGAATCTACATCATCCGCTTAGTATCAGGTTATAGGTATTGTGAATTGCTTTAAGCACTGCATTTATTTTTGAGTAGATGATTTCTCTGCATACATATTGAATGTATCTTTTATTGTTTGTTTTTCATAGAGGTTCCAGACAGAACCAAAGAAACCGTGGAAAAGAAAGAATGTTACTACAATCTAAATGACGCAAATTTTTGTGATAATGTATTAACATCCAATGTTACAAAGCAAGAATGCTGTTGTACTTTGGGCGCTGGCTGGGGTGACAACTGTGAAATATTCCCATGTCCTGTGCTTGGAAGTGGTGAGTTATCCTTTTCCATTCAGTGGCAATTATTTTGCATAACATTACAAGGAGACTCAGGGGTTACATAACTAAGAGGTTCTTGCTCTTAGCAGTCACACTTTCCTAAACAACTTGGATCGTTAAGGATAATATTAATGGGGGGAAAGAGATGCGAATAGCAAACTGGAATATTTGAGCTTTTCTATAAAATGAAAGCTTTACTTGCATGAAAGATATCTAAATTGGAATCAAGAAAGTAATGCTTTCTATTGCATTTTTGTGCTAAAGAGAAACCTAAATCTCAGAAATATATTTTTTTTAATATTTTAAATAGTGCTAGAAGTTTTGTAGAATTTCTCTCTCATGTGGCTGTAAAGACTACATGATTCAAATTTTCCTTGTGCCACCTATAGTGTAAGATAGTAATTCTGTTTGCCTAATATTAATTAAATGTACAAAACCTCTGCCCCGGAACACAAGTGCCAGTAACAGTTTGCAAGTTGTTAGTTATTTTCATAACTCCGAGTTGTTTATTATTTTATTGAAAGATTACTGTATTTCCTTTAAAAAAGAAATCTAATATGTTTTGCTAGAAGTAATAAGATAAAGGTTTCTGATTTATTCCAGTATGTAATTTGTCAGGAGTGAGGGCAAGGAAATGAATGTGATTGCACTGCAAGTAATCCTCCAAAAGTATATTAAAAACGTCAGATTTTCAACTCCAAACCCATAGAATTGTTGCGACAAACTTGCTTTACAGAGTACTTGTATTCATAGTGAATATTTGGTTGGGAAACTTGCTTTACAAGGGCCAAAAAAGATGTTTCAGGTTTATTTTTTATCACTTTCCCCCCCCCCACACACACACACACCCTTACCAACTGAAGTCCATCACATACTGAAAAATTGGCAGTGTTCAGTTCATCTTTCCTTTCTAAAAGAAATATTATCTCAGCTTTTGCATTTCCTTTAAATTGCACAGTTTGTATTGTGTGCCAGTTGCATATTTTCCTGGATCAGGAAACCCTACTCTCATTCACTCACGCTCTAGCTACTCCCCAAATGGACTCCTATAACATGGGGCTGCCTTTAAAAAATATATGTTACGTTGCAACTTCCGGTTTGTGTCATGGCACAATGGGATGCAGGAAGGCAGGGTTCTGCCTTCCACGCCCAATTTTGCCCTGCTGTGGGCCCTGAAAAGGGCCTAAAATCACCCCAAAGAGGCGATGAAGAGGAGGGATGCCTTGTTGATCACAGAGAGATGGCGGTCTTTCCATTCAATCCAAGGAAATCCCTCTAAACCAGCAGGGGAAAGACTGGCTACATTCCTGTGGCCGGCCATTAGCTGGTGACAACTGAAGAGGAAAAAACCATTATTTAATATATCATAAACAGCATGTCTGGAACTGGGTGAGAATATTGATCCTTTCTTTACTATTTTACAACTGAATTTCCTGGAAAAGGCTCCCAAGAAGCAAAAAAACTCCGAATGTAAACGGAAGTGGCGTTTTAATTATATGGGGGACAGAAACATACAATATTGAAGTGGAAGTAACATAAAGCTACAATTTTGATAAATTTGAGAACTGAGATAAGTGTTAAGATTTTCTCTTTGAAAAAAGAAAAAAAACATTGAGGTGAAACATAAGAAATCAATCCTTTGTTTTAAGAGTGGAAAATGGACTTTGAATGACATCTAATGGTGGATTTGTGTATAGCACTATAATTTGCTCTGCTTGGTGATTCCTACTCTGGAAGAACAGCTGACAATAAAGGAAAATATTTTGGCATACTTATCATCCTGACCTTCTTGGATTAAAAATACCTACTGAGCTTGGACTGTTTCTTTGGACAATATTTTATTAAGTTTTATCAGGGTAGGGAAAACCATGGATCAGTATAGTTAGTGGGATTCGGGATAGGGTTAAGAGAAAAGATTGGGGTGGGAATAGGTACAACAATGGGGTTGCCACCAATAACATTCCACGCTTTAGCAAGCAAACTATCGTCCGGATACAAATATTCAAGAGGGGTAATCAATATGATAATAAGTGTGTAGTCAACAGAAATAGCAAAAATTATAAAAAGTTATAAAACATATCAATTAATCATTAAAAAAAGTTAGTCATCTTAAAAGTTTCACACACAGTTTTCGTGTGTGAAATTGGATTAAAAATACCTACTGAGCTTGGACTTTTAACTTCAAGAGCTAGTGGGAGAGAAAGAAAAATTTGACCTTGGACTACTCCTGGCTGGGAAAGAGTTTTGAGCTGTTTTCAGAGAGGTTGAACATTTTGAACACTTAGAATATCATGGATTACAACATTGCCTGATTGACAATTTTTGGGATACGTGAGACAAGGGATTACTATAAAATATTGCCTTCAGAACTGAATCTATACTTTGGAATATATTGGATTATAAAGGATACATATAAAGACCAGAAAACCAATCTCCAGGAATGAAATCTCAAGAAAAAACAAACACCTTCCAGAAAGAAATATATTCTATGCTACAACTAGTCTACCAAACAATTGTTGAATGCAAAGAGGATATAAAAGAAATCATAATGAGACTAAAAACAATTTAGACAATATAAATGAGCAAATCTCCAAATTAAATCTACAACTAGAAAGCTCCCAGATAACGACCACAAAGTATGAACAAATAATCCAGAAATCAGAAGACAAAACAGAGGAAATGGATTTAGAGATAGAAGAGATAAAAGAACTGCAAGACTTAGCTATAACAATGAAAATGCAAAAGACCTTTTACCCCTTAGGTCTGCAAAATATATCTGATTGCAAAGAAAAAGATTTTTAAAAGGGGAATATAGAGCTGTTAATGGAAATGTCACAACTTGAGAGACAGGAAATGAAAAGAGAAATGGGGGGGAGAAAGGAACTGGGAGTTGTTTAAAGAATATAAATGGGTGGAATTCCCCCCCAAAAAATACACTACCCAAATTGTTTTCCTCATGCAAGCAATTTTCACAAAAATAGAAAGAAAATTCCTGGTCGATCTAATTGCCCTGACTTGGAAAGCGACTTGGCAAAGAAAGAAAGCGAGAGTCAGATTTAAAAAACAGAAGACTTGACCTTCTAGAGGGGGCATTATATGTTTAAATACCTTTTTGAATAAGATTAAAAGAACGGAAGCCTTTTAGATATAATTAGACTTTTACAATGAAAGATATGGTTTAGAATTAAGATAGCATTTTTTTTCTTTTAATTGATATGGGAAATATGAAGATAAGAGGAGGATTGATTTAAATAAAACTTTCAGCTATATGTAATTAATACTGAGGAAATCATAATTGATAAAGATATTTCAAATATTGATGGGAAATCAAACTTGAACAAGAGTACGAAAAACAAGATATTGATTAATGAATTGACATTATTGACTTATGAATTGATATTATTGTTATTTGTATGATATTAGTAAAATATGATGAAGATGCTTATATCTAACTTTGTATACATTAACAGTACCAAAAATTGTAATGGTGTAATAAAGGGAAAATGGAAAAAAAAATATGGAGAAGAAAGGAGGATCAGGGGAAAAATACTGGATTGTGTAGTATTGAACAGATTTATATTGAAAAAGTTAATGTTAAATATTTGAACCCAGACAACATGTTGTTTACTAAGCACTAAAGACTGTAATTTTTAAAGAATTAATAAAACTTTTATTAAAAAAAGAATAACTGTTATGCTTCAGTTATGTGTGCCCCAGTAATGACACATGGGTTACCAATTTGCTTCCAGGTCCTGGAAGGTGCTGGTAAAGACCTTTAAAACCTACATGGCATGTGGTTACCTTATTTGAGGGTCCACCTCATCCTAATTAGATCCACCTCTCCCATCAGATCCCTTCAGTCCATCAGCCAAGGAGCTTTATTTGGCGAGACCCAAGAGAAGAGCCTTTTCTGCCATGCACCAACCCTTTGTACTATCATTTCCCCCAAGATGAAGTTGGCCCCAACTCTGTTGGCCTTCCGGAAGGCCCTCAAAATTTGATTTTGCCATTGGGCCTGGGGATCCCATGGAAGTCTGGAGCCCCTTAAATGGCTAGCATAGGTTTAATTGCATTCTTCCCTGTCCTTTTGTTATTATGGTTTTTAATTTTCTAATTCATTTTAATGGATACATTATACTGATAGTTTAGTTTTTGTTTTAATTCTCTTGATTTATATAGCTGCCCAGAGCCACCTGCAAGTGAGATGGGCAGCTATATAAATCAATCAATCAATAGTTGTAAATTTGTTTGGGTAGCAGAAAACTGCTAAAGAGAAGAAGCTGAGCCCTGCAACCAAATTTAAACTTAGATTGATTACAATTCAGATAACAAGCTAAAATAAAGCTACACGTGTAGTATACAAATTAATATAAAGATTCCAAATTTGCATCTTGAAAATCTATCAGTTGTGTGCATCTGTGGCAAGCCATGCACTTAAATCTTACAAGCCATGGATGCTAAAAGGAAAAAAGCTGAGTTCTCATTATTTCAAGTATCCATATATATATGTACCATTAGAAATCTAAAATCTGAAATGTGGTATTTACAAATACATTAACACATACTTGTTATAGAAATGTTGCTATTGATTTCAGAATGTAATGCACAAATATAGTTCTAAATGGATTCTTGGTTTTATCTTCCGGCTAGCTGAATTTATTGAGCTGTGTCCTGAAGGGAAAGGGTTCATACCATCTGAAGAACCACATTATGGAGATGTTACACATAGTTACAAAGGTCAGCCTTGATATTGACTTGAATATAGACTCAAATTAATACCATGGTTTTAATATTTGTTTGTAATTATTGTTTTCCTTCAACTGCTGCTTATTTGAATTAATTTTTAACTTTTTTTTAAACTCGCTAATGCCTTAATTCCCCCAAAGTGTCAATGCAGTTAGATGATAAATGATGTGTTGGTTTGATACTGCTGAAAATATTTTAAAATCTCTATGATGTATGTGAGACAGTATTTCAAAATGTAAAGTTGTATCTGTTGGACTATTTAACCAGGTCAACTAAGAAATATCATTGCTGGTTTTGCTTTTGTTTTCCTTTGAATTTCTTTGTTTATAGGAACATAATTGGTTTTCTTCCTTAGATCTGCTCATTTCCTTTTACAAACATATAATTCTCTTTCAGCAATTCTAGACATACCATTCTTCAGATATCTGATCTTTTAAAAACTTTGCTTTATTATGTGGTTGTCTAGTTTTCATCCAGAATTTCTTTTTTACTGTACTGCTCAATTTCTGGAAAAATGCTTTAAAAATATTAGAATAGCCAATTATTTCTTTCTGGAGAAGTATGCTAGTATTTTATCTTTAGGGTATCCAGCATATAGAAAGCATTGTTTTCTTAGTATGCTACTGTTACCATGATATGAATGGATATCATCCTGTTCAAAACAACTATCTGAGTAATTGGACCCAATTTTATTTTGCCTTGTGTAAATAGCAAATTGATGTTTCAGAAATAATTCAACAAATAGGATAAACATTGAGACTTTTCTAAATTTTAAAATGTTATATACTTAAGTTATATAAGAAATATAAAATATTGTGAAAAACATAAATATTCCTGTTTTCCTGGCTGTTTCAATATGGTGAAAACAGATCTATATGGAAGGCTTTACAAATACTTTTCACAAGCATGTAAAAAAATCCTGGCTATCACTTAACATCAAAACCTCCCAAAGAACAGAATAGATACTTTTAGAATTCTATTTAGTGATAATTATTGTCATAGCTGTGTGGAGGAACATACCACTACTGTAATTTCCAAAACAAACCCACAAAAAATCATTAATTCTCAGAGGATTTTATATCAGATGCAACACAGAAGCAAATAGATGGACAAGACGCAATGGATGGAAACTAATCAAAGAGAGAAGCAACCTAGAACTAAGGAGAAATTTCCTGACAGTTAGAACAAATAATCAGTGGAACAACCTGCCACCAGAAGCTGTGAATGCTCCAACACTGGAGGTTTTTAAGAAGAAACTGGACAGCCATTTGTCTGAAATAGTATAGGGTTTCCTGCCTGAGCTAGATGACCTCCAAGGTCCTTCCCAACTTTTATTATTATTATTATTATTATTATTATTATTATTATTATTATTATTATTATTATTATTATTATTATTATTATTATTATTATTATTATTATTATTATTATTATTATTATTATATCATGCACACAAAATTGGGATATATCTTTATAAGGCAATGTTAGCAGAGTACATGAAAGTAATTTTGGAGCTGGAGATAAGGTAAAGCACTTGATCGAACTGCCCTCCAAACGTTAACATTAGCTGACATTTGCAAAACTTATGCTTAAGGCAATACACGCAGAACAGGATTGCTACATGTAATGGAATTGCCAATGTAAAAACAGAACATGCTCAATTGAATGAATTGTTTGGCACATATTATTTCTATACTAAATAAACAGCAAGAATAAGTTACCAACATTCCAGATGAGGCTGTTGGTCTAAAAAGACGGGCTCTTGATTGTTTAACATTTTAATCATGCAACTTCCCATGACAAATTTCTGCAATTGATTCTTTGTGAAAATAACATTTTTTTTTAAAAAAAGAAATAAACAAAAATGGTTTGCAGTTCATTGCTTTTTACTTGTAAGTTTTAACTTGTTCTCAACTCTGCTTTTCATTTATGCTTTTACTCATGTGTTTATATTGTTTTATGACGTTGTTGTAAACTGCCCAGAGCCACTTAGGTGAAATGGGCGATATAGAATTTTTTAAAAAAATAAAATGAATAAATAAATAATTTGACCTGAAGAAAATGCAACTCTTCTAGAATAACTTTATAGAAATATATACTATTTTGGGTCCATCATAGCAGGTACTATTCAACACTGCTCTCCTATTTATTGTTTATAGATATAAGGAATAACAATATCTCTCCTAAAAATTTGATCTGAAAATTCGTACTCCACCTATATGATTAAACAAATGACGTTTTAGAATGTCAATGTTTCCTTTTCAGATGCTGATGAATGCCAGCTCTTTGGCCAAGAAATATGTAAAAATGGCTTCTGTTTAAACACGCAGCCAGGTTATGAATGTTACTGCAAACAGGGTACATATTATGATCCTATAAAACTTCAGTGCTTTGGTAAGTATTCAGGCTTGCATCCTATTCCTCTCACTGGGGAAAGACAGCAAGATCAAGATCTAATTCTTGACCGTTTATATAAGAACCTGATTGCTTGTACAGGTAGTCCGTACTTATAACAGTTCATTTAGTGACCATTCAAAGTTTCAACAGCACTGAAAAAAAGTGATTTATGACCATTTTTCACACACAGGACTGTTGCAGCTTCCCCACAGTCATGTGGTCAAAATTCAGATGGCTCATATTTAGGACTGTTGCAGCGTTCCGGGATCATGTGATCTCCTTTTGTGAGCTTCTGACAAGCAAAGTCAATGGGGAAAGCCAGATTCACTTAACAGCGGTGTTACTAATTTAACATCTGCGGTGGTTCACTTAACAAATGTGGCAAAGAGGACAAAACTCACTTAACAAATTTGTCACTCAGCAACATAAAATTTGGGCTCAAGTATGGTCCTAAGTCAAGGACTACCTGTATTCCTCAAATGTTCCTTCGAAATTCTGCGACTAATTTTTATTCGGAGAAATATAGAACAATGGCTAGCATCCATTTGCTTGATTGCAATCGCCAGGAAGAATGTTGTGGCCGCAGAAATTTTGCTAGATTCTTTGGTCTCTTAAGACAATCAGAGGAAGAAATACATGGAGATAACATTACAAAGAAATAAAATACATGATTATTTCTGTGGTAGGGTATATACAATAGTCCCAAACATATTCAATTTCATCTTGCTGTGGTAAAGGTTTTACTGAGACCTTATTACACAGTATATAATTAACTTGGAGAACAATTTCTGATTTGCATAATAAAAGATGGATACATTTTATATTGCTGTTACAGGAACAAACCTCTAAATAATAGCAGCTGGGAAATAAAATGCGAAACAGCACAGCGTCCTAATTTAAATTTGTAGTCTTCCCAGGAATCTTCTAGAAGGTTACTGTAAAAATTGTTAGGCTGAGTGAGATTTTGATGTGACCTAGCAGAATATTTCTCATGTTTTTATAAGATAAAGTTTGTCAACAATACCGGAAAGCTGAAGCTGGCAGAAATAATAAGATAATTGGGAGGAAACAGACTTCATAGTTACAGGTTTTACATTTCTACCCAATTTGACTTCTGTACAGCTAGAGTCCTATTTTTTATGCATAATGCACAAATATACTCTTGGATTCTTTTTTAGTGAGAGTTACATTCTGCTTATAAAAAATTCATTTGAGAAGATGAGTATTTTTTGCATACTATTTCCTCCCTAAGTATGGAATAGCAATTCACATTTGTGATTATCATAAATGTATTCCCATTAATCCACTGAATTGCCTACTTATTCACTTTTTGCCACTTAACTGAAAATTATTCCTCATCATGGTCTTGACTTTTGCAATCTAAAGAGAAAAACCATTCTGTATAGAATAACAGAATGAAAGGAAATCACAGTGAAAGGTTTAATTATCTTGGGCCCAGATAACTTTTCTTTTCTGGTATAAAACCATTTAATTTCTTGAACTGGTATTGTAGTTTCTTTTCTATAAAATGAGCTGTCTGGATAACAGTCAGTTTTTGTCTGAATATTCATGAAGATCAGGTTAATTTTATCCAGTAGTACTCATAGTCTTGTTATTCTAGAGAGGGAACGTACATATAATTTATTAAAAAATATACTTGCTGTGCTGATAAATCAGGACTGTAGAAAGACATAAATCCACAAGAACAACATTTTATTTGGGTATTTCAGGAAGACACGTCTGTTTAACAGTTCTCCTCTTTGCAAATATGTTCAGTACGATTGTCTTGATTTTAAATATCTGCTAATGAAAAATACAGACCAGAAGTTGATCACTGCAGATGTTCTGTTCAAGCTATTTTGCAGGAAGAGATTTCCTCTGAAATACTTTTCATTTGCATTTGAACAGATACAGATGAATGTCAGGACATCAGCAGCTGTATTGATGGCCAGTGCATCAATACTGAAGGCTCCTACAGTTGTTTCTGCACACACCCAATGGTTCTGGATTCTACAGGAAAGCAGTGCATCAGACCAGCAGAATCTAGTGGTGTGCATTATTTTATGTATTGCTATGTTCAGGTTGAAGGCCAAAATATATGAATCAAAAAGAATATTGTAGAATTATCATTATTATTATAGTATTCAATGTGCTTCTTTCCCAAAGACTTTTAATTTATAATTGCTAAGTCCTTTTGTTAGGTATCTCATTTTATTTAGTAGAGCCTCGGGCTGCAGAGATCTGCAAAACATAGGAAAACTAATTTTCTGCAAAGATAATTACCGCGGATGTGCAAAACATTCATTGCAACAGAAAACATTCTATATACAGAAAGGCCAAGTTCACATGGTTCGTGCCCAGCAAAAATGTGTTTTCTATATGGGTACTACCCCGAAACATATGTGTTACAGCCAGGGCCAGATACAGAATATGTGAGTTTCAGGCATAGGTGTTCTGGAGTGGGGTACAGAGGGGAAACACCTTCAATTGAGGGGGGGGATCCCCTGGAGGGGAGGGCCGAGGATTTCGCTCAATATCTGCATGACAAAGTCGTGCGGATCCGGGAAGGCTTAGACTCCAACTGGCTGGCCCAGGGGGAGGAGACAGAAGCAGGTCTTGAGATGGTTGTATGGGAGGAGTTTGACTCTGTGGCTCCCGAGGACGTAGACAGGGTCCTGGGGAGGCTCAATGCAACCACATGTTTGTTGGATCCGTGTCCCTCCTGGCTGGTACTGGCAGCTCGGGAGGGTACACGAGCCTGGTTCCAGGGAATTGTGAA